CACCAGAGCCGAGGGATACACCACTATCGTATTACATAGCCTCTCTCCTCTTTTGAGCATCGTCCCCGGCGCTCCCACAGGTCAACCACCCGCGTCAGCCATTACAACGTAGTCGGTGCAGTAAAGTAACATCCACAAGCCGACCGTGCCAGTCACCAAATTAGCGTGCAACTGAGGGGGTACTTGACCTCAACCTCACTGATCCCTCTTGGCGACTTGGTTGGATCTGGGGTTTCGTCCGGTTTAGGGATTTGTTTCAGGACGGGGAACTACGCCGGCCATCATGGGTGTCCATAGAGAGATGCAGGAACACTGGCCTAAAAGCAGATTTGAATAAGGAAATACAGGATTTAAAACAGGTCCATGGGGGACGGTAGGGGAAATCCGTAACGAAACTTCCAGATGGTTCACGGCTAGTGTTGCTTCAATTGTTAATTGCTTTTCTGCAGAACACGGGACTGGGAGAGATGCCAAAGGTATATGTCAACATCAACCCTTCTGTTAGGAGTCATCACCATTCTCCCATCCGATGCATATGGACTTCTTCCGCTCCACTAAGGCTTATCACGCAGAAGTGGAAAATCAGGATACATGTCTTTCAAGATCGGGTTCGCTTTCTGCTGCCACCAATGTAGCGTCCCGGGACTCCCTGAAGACGAAAGAAGACACAATACTCGGGCAGAATATATATATATTTAGCACGGAGAAGGTGTCTGGGCTATTGGCATGGCCCAAAAGGCCAGCCCACCCGGCGAGGTACGCGAGGGCTAATTCAAAGTCCAAAAGTTGCGCCTCACCAAAACGGAGGGATAAACCACTATTGTATTACACAAATGTTTAGCTCTCGGTTGGGTGTAATTACCGCAGATTTCAATGGGATCTCATAGCATTTTCGCATTGCGGCAGCGTTGTTAATGGCTACTTCGACTCAAATATGAATACCTCAAATGGTTATATGAAAAGAATAGTGATCACAATTTTAAATTTAAAGAATATAGCCCAAGTGACTACCTGCCTAACTGAAGCTGGAGGGGCAATGATATTTAGTATAACCCAACCATTTAGAAAAAGAACCAAAACATGTAACAAAACCTTATTTGGTGGCGTGCTTCGTGAAGGTGACTACACTGTGTTTGTGCCGTAAAAGTGAGATGGTGGATTGAAACTAGGAAATTGATGATTGTGCAAACAGGGCCTTTATTCTCGGTTGCCAATCGCACAGGTCTGTACGACATGACATCAATTCTTCAAGCTAGGATGCAGAAGTGGCCTCTGTGCATAGGCTTATCTGTGAACAAGAACAAAATATGTGACCTCTGGCCCTATTTACTTTTGGCTGATTCGTGAAGATATTGCTGTTCATTTCGCCTTGATTTATTCACTATTTCATTTACTCTTACTTCCACCGAATTATTCAGTCGCACGTGTGGTGTTAAGTTTGCCGTGTGTAACTCTACTGTTTGGGAATTGCACAACATTGAGTTGCTTGAGTAGAAACCAAGGTCGTGTACCTTCCCCATTATTTCACTGTATGCACAAGTAATTTTTTATGTCGTCTTTCAATACTATGCAGCTGCTAGATCAAAGTGGTAGGTTATAATCTTCGAAACACTTTACACGATTGTGACGAGGAATTCCCCCTTGATTTACTTAATGCAATACGCAGTGAGAAAATCTGACTTGTTCATTTGTTCATTCGTTCGACGGTGCACTGCAGGCTGTACCATCGTATTGCAGCATGGCTTTCAGGCCAGCGCAGTAGCCTCACGCTTCCCTTCTGCACGCTAGTAAATAGCGGGCCCTTCATACTCCTCTGGGACACTTATTACTAATTGGTGTGTAGAAGGATTAGATGCAATTTTAAATGTTGATATTCTCTAGTAACTTTTAAGAGAGTACTGTGGTAGTTGCAATTACAAAGACCATCGCATCGTAATGCGCCAGTGCAAACTAAAGTTAAGTCTTGGAAGCTGCATTGATAGCAGTGGAAAGCAAACCCCCTCTTAAAGGACAACAGCCCCGGTATCCGATGCTGGGTGAACACCATCAGCTGGGGAGAAGAAGTACAGATAGTGAAAGGGGGAAATTAGTGGTGACCCATAACAAAAGGGTTGTAAATGGCCTCTACATCAACAAATGAAGAGACGCTGGAGGGGTGGGCATGCACCTTGGACATTGCAGTAACCCAATCCCTACTTACTACCAACCATGTATTTTGCTTGCACTAAATGTATTTGTTCTAATTAAGAAATTTCCGAGGCGCAGCAATCATACCAATTTCTAACAGGCCCAGTAAACAATAGATGTGATGCATTCATTGAGCGAGAGCCCTAAGTAAAAGCAGAGAAATAGGCACTGGTGCATTTGGACTTAAATTTTAATAACTGCGGCATAAAATTGCATTTAAAAACAAATATCTATGCAACTTAGCATATGCACGCTGAGAGAATTCGTATGACAGCAATAAAAGTCATGTCAATAGTTCTTTAGAAGTAAAAAAATGATATTTTAGCAGACATTGGTATATTCCGAGCAGAGATTGATCCATTAATTTAGGTGCTTAATCAATATTTTTCAAATTCTCATGTGTCTTCTTCTAATCACAACAAAGCCGTCTAGTGAATGCCAGAGTAGCAACAAAACGCCAATCACGTAGAGTAAAAATAAGCAAACTCTGAAACTAATGAAGGCTTTTACATGATAAAGGTGCTTGCAGGCTATTTACAGTAGAAATTTGTTTAATTTAAATAACATTTGCCAGCATAAATCTGGGCTCGAATTCTGTTTTACTTCACCATTACTATAAAAGCTGAGGTCGTGGTGGTTTGTGGTAGCAATTTGTTCCCCGTCTCTAGCAGTGATTCCGCAATGTTTGGTATGCGAATTTCTAACACTGATTTTATTTGGTAGCCAAAACTAGCTTCATTCCTTTTACACAGGCCCTGTATGCCCAACTACAGCCTTCAGGTGCGTCTCCCTTCTCTATCCACTTTCTTTATCCATTTTGCTTGTTTGATATTGCATGTCGTTGTTCCTGTTTA